GTTTCTACGGATAGTTATCCGTTTGGTATTACACTATTTCCTTTCTTCCATTTTCATTTTGCATAAGTTCTCTGATTGCATGATGGGACCTTTGTTGCTGATATATGTCAGGAGGCCCTCTGGCTTCTGTCTGATACATGTGTTGTGTTTGCTTTTGATCGATGAGTCACTCAATTTAGAAATTGAGATCACGACTTAGCTCTCAGTGCATGTTCCTTATAGGATATTTTTTTATTTTTCTTCTTTAATTGTTGATCGATGAGTCACTCAATTTAGAAATTGAGATCACGACTTCGCTCTCAGTGCATGTTCCCTATAGGATGTTTATTATTTTTTTTCTTTAATTGTTAATCGATGAGTCACTCAATTTAGAAATTGAGATCACGACTTCGCTCTTATTGCATGGTCCCTATAGGATATTTTTGGCAAGCTTCCTTTAACATGTAAATTAGGGTAGGGTTTCCCTTTATCCTCAACCTTAGGATCAATCATTGTATGATAACACTAGGGATAGTGCTAGGCTAGTTTCCCTTAGTTGTTTTTCCTTCCTTCGCATTTTGCATCTTAAAACAAAAATTGTTTTCTTGGCAAATCATAAAACACTTCTAATGAACTCAAACCCTTCTTCAAAGTAAAAGATACAAACCAATCTTACTTTGTCTATGTTATCTTCCAGCCGATGTTTCACCGTCGCACATGTCTGTTATCCTACTTTGATTCTCAATATCATTGATAGGTGTGATATTTTGCTATCTGTTTTATTGATGTTTTTCCATCTCTACCATGATATTGTGCTATCTTTCAGCTGATGTTTCGCCATCGCACATTTTCTTGAAGACGATGTTTCACCGTCTCACATGTCTGTTATCCTACTTTGATTCTCAATATCATTGATAGGTGTGATATTTTGCTATTTGTTTTATTGATGTTTTGCCATCTCTACCATGATATCTTTGTTACTTCTTAGCCGATGTTTCGCCATCGCACATTTTCTTGAAGTCGATGTTTCACCATCGCACATGTTTGATTATCCTACTTTGATTCTCAATATCTTTGTTAGGTGTGATGTTTTGTCATTCAATTTATTGATGCTTCGTTATCTTTTCCATGATATCTTTGTTACCTCTTAGCCGATGTTTCGCCATCGCACATTTGCTTGAAGTTGATGTTTCGCCATCGCACATGTTTAATTATCTAACTTTGACTCTCAATGTCACTGTTAGGTGTGTTATTTTACCATTTGATGTCTCGCCATCTTTGACATGTTACTTTGTTATTGTTTAGTCGATGTTTTATCATCTCTTTTGTTTGATTGTTTTATTTGATGTTTTGCCATCTTGATTGTTTTTGTTTGTCTTAAACTAAAAAACACAAACTAACCAAAACACATAAGCCGAACTATGGCTGCTCTGATTCCTTAAAAGGGATACGTAGGCATTGGGGTAGGGCCCAACCGAGCACCACTTTTATTTTCCCTACATTGTTTTCTTTTTCTTTCACATGTATTCCCTTTTCAGTTGTAAGACATAGACATGGGATTTGACCACACCTATTAGATTAAACAACAAGAGTGGATACCATAGAGTACTACAGCCGTGTGGGGTGCTAATACCTTCCCCTCGCGTAACAGACTCCCTTACTCGATCTCTCGGCCGAAAGACCTTGATTTCACCCTTTTCAGATTTTCTCGATGTTTACCTTTCCCTTTCGGCGGGATAAAAGACGTTCGGTGGCGACTTCATTGATGTTTCATTAACATCCAGATGACAGGTTCCGACCGCGTTGTTTCAGTATGTTTGCAAGGGTATTTGTTTTGAAAGTGAGCAAGCAACTAGGAACATTTCTACCTACTCAAAATTCTTTTGTTCATTTTTCTCTTCCTTTGATACTGCTATCTTACCATTGATTGGTAAGAAGCCTTATCTTTGGATGTAAAGGGACGGGCGTGGGTCATCGTATAGTCATGATAGCAATGTTGTGAGATATCTTAGCATTTTTCTTGAGGGACTAAGATCATTTGAAAGGCAACATTCGAAGCGTCATCGAGGGACTATGGTCTTGTATTTTGATTGTTTTTGCTAATATGTCTCACATGCATAACATGACCCTTTTTTAGGCAACAAGTGGGGTTAACCCTAGGGATGCATGTGTGAATAGTTGTTTGATTTTCATGCATTTAGTCTTTGATTAGGGGTTGTCTACTTGTTGATTTTATCTTCCCATACAAATCCTACTTTACTAGCATTTATATGAAAGCAATAAATTGCGGAAAGTAAATATTCTACGCTATTACAATCATTCGGGGAATGGGGTGTACAAATTTACAAATGGGGATTGCAAGAAATTAAATTTCTAATTATCTATTACAACCATATTGAAATAATGTACAAGAAATGTAAAATGGGCTTGTTTTGTTTTTGTTAAGAGAATAAATAAGTTTTCTTAAGAAAATATTTTTTATATTTTGGTTTTAAAAGAAATAAAATAAAGTATGTGAATATAAATTTTTTTTTGGTGTTTTTTATTATTGAAATAAAACAATGATAAAAGTAATAAGAGGAAAAGGGTCAGAAACGGCGCATTGCTGAAATGAGAGAGAACAGAAGTTCTGACTCCGGTACACTGTAGGTCAGAAAGAAAATGTTAGCAGAAAAGGGGAAGGTCAGAAGTTCTGGGTCCGGGTACATTAAAGTTCTGGGGTTGCTGAGAACAAGGGAAATCTTGGAAATTCTGATGCAACTGGAAGCCTAGAAGTTCTAATGTTGCTGGAAGGTCAGAAGTTATGGTTGTTGAGAGAGTCTGGAAGTTCTGATGTAGCTGGAAACCTAGAAGTTCTAGTGTCACTAGTAAGCTAGAAGTTCTGATAATGGGTATGTGAGGTGTCAATGTTGTTGGATGGGAATGTCTAGAAGTTCTGATCCAACTAATAGGGTAAAAATGTCAGGAAATAAATATATAAAAAGGGTGTTTTGGGGCTAGAACTCAAGACCCTTAACACTAACGTCTTATGCACATGCTCTCTACCACTGGGGTGGATATACATCCGGTATTAGAAGCAAAAACATAAACATATATTATGAAGTAAGCTCTGATGATGAATTTCATCTCCTTCTCCACGCCAGTCAGAGTATCTGCAGCTTAACCATTTCTCAACAAAGCAGAAAATGCACACATAGCAGTTATGGCAGGTTTCATCATGGTTTCAAAAATATAAAGCATCAGAACTGTAAATCAGAAGCAAGCATGAATTTTGCTAATTTTAGTTCTGAATCCTAATTTCCTCAAGAAGTTCTAAACTAAAATTCTCTATACTTAGGAAAAAAATGCATGAAATCTATGAATATGTACAAAATCAGGGTCAGGATGTATACATTTTATTTTTGGACATGCAAGTCTATCAATGCCTAAATACTGAGGTAAAAGTCAGAAGAAACTTACCTTGCAGCTGGAAATTTTTCTATGAACTAGAACCTGGTTCTGACTGCTGTGATGTTCTGATCAGCTTCCTTCAATTCTCATAAAGTTAGAACAACCCTGAACTATGGATGGCTGGAAAATTCTGGAGCAGCCAAGAAGCAATGTTCTAGTTTTTTGAGAGGGAGATTGATGAAGATTGTGTTACAGTCTCAAAACAAAAGTTGGGACGACTTCTAAATGTATATCAGAAGTTGTGTGGGTGATTTTGTTGGTAAATGCACAAGGAAGATTAGAGCTTGGATGCAAAAACCAGAAATTAGCAGGTTTTGTATTTTTGTGTTTACAATTTCAAGTTCTTTGAAATTTCAGCAAAGTTTCAAGGCTTTTTCTCAAATTCTCGACCTCTTTAATAGTTGCAAATGAAGTTCAATTTATAGGCAAAGATTTAGTAGCTTGGAGAAGTCAAGAGTACATCTATCATATGCTAGGGCGCTGGCTTGTTCTTGAAGCAAGTTTAAATAAGTATGGTTCAAGGCATAAAGTAGGGTGGTTAGCAGCTTTAGCCGCGCTTAATCTGAATTTGTAAGCATGAACTATGGAAAAGTATCCTTAGAAGCAAAAGCAAAGCATGGGCCCAGCATAAACTTTGTACAAAAGTTTGCTTTTCAAGGACATCAATGGTACTGCTATGCCACACGTGGGAAAATCCTTTGGTTAAAGACTCAAAAGTGGGTGTGAGCATTCAATGATGATGAGATTTATCAAAACAGAAAACCTGTAATATGAGATTATGTATCATATCTCAATCTGGATCAGAAGTTCAGCATCAGCGTAACTTAGAACAAATATTCCAACTTCTGATCTTTGAATCTCCCTGCTCCAGCATGTTCTGAAGGAGTTCTCAGACTTTTTAGAAAGCTTGTAACGTGCTTTGCAGATTTTCATTGAATTTCTCTTGCAAATTATGATTGAACCTTCGTGAAAACTGGTCCAGAAGTTCTAACCAAATTCTATCTTGGAAATGTCTAGAATTTACTGAATACTTCAGTTTCATGGACGTGTCTTCAAGAATTTATAACTTGAAATCCCAGCACTTCTAGAATAAGTTATGTTCTGCAATGTTTTAGATCTCATTGAGATCTACAACTCTTATGTTAGGAGTTATTCCAGAATCAACTTGCATCATAGTGAAAATCTGGCCAGAAGTTCTGAACTTATCATATTTCCTAAACACTTAGAAAAATTTCTGAATATTTAGAATTTTGACTTTTTCAAAGTAATTTTGACTTTTGATTTTCTTGATAAAACAAACTTCACATTCCAACATGTCTTGATGAAATATGATTCTTGAAACTTGGTTTTGATCCAAAAGTCAAAATTTGACTTTTCAGTATGCAATTGACCATTTTGCCCTTGTGTCAATTCCAAACCTAAATTGATGTATTAGTGCTGCAAACTTGATGTCATGGAAGATCTTGTGAGAGAATCCTTGAGAAATGAGAGGGAAAATTTTCGGGTACAACAGTAACCACATTCAACTGATCCACAATAGCTTCAATCACAGGCAGATGAATGGCTGCAATTTAGAGTTTAAAGTCATTTGGAAGCCAGACAAGCAACTCCCAGTCCCAGTCACCATTATATCCCACAATATCACTCACCTTAGCATCTCTTAAAGAAAGAGGTATACTTATAAGATTTTCTGAAATATTCTTGCCTCTAGATATCCAATTATCATCCCAAGCATGTATAGAATTCCCATTACCCACATTCCAAATACTAGCTTCCATCAAAGTTGGATATGTAGAAACTATTGCCTTCCAAAGCTTTGAGTCATAACTCTTAGCTTCTAGGTTATTGCTAACACCATCTAGTTTATACTTCCCTCTTAAAACTCTACACCATAAATCTCCATCGCCATTGATTAATTTACAACCCAACTTCATAATACAAACTTAGTTCATGACTTCAAGATCCCTCAAACCAAGCCCTTCGTCACACTTGATAGTCACAACTTTCTCCCAACTAATTGCATGATACTTTCTCTTCAGCTTGGTATCTCCCTAGATAAAGTTACGTTGCAGCTTTCGGATATGCTTGATACACCCCTTAGGCAGCATATTCATCATCATTGGATAAAGCAGAACGACTTCCATAACACTCTTAGCAAGAGTAATTCTCCCAGCAAAGGAAAGGTGTCTGGCTTTCCAACTTGACAGTTTCTTTGTTAAATGCTCTAACAAATAATTAAAGTCTCTTCTTCTAGAAATTTTACCTGTTAAAAGAACTCCTAAGTATTTACCAAAGCTATTTGTTTCTCTAAAACCAGACTTCACAACTAATTTCGATCTTATCCCTTTAGAGAAATTTTTAGAGAACATAATACTTAACTTGTCCAGACTAATCTCTTGCCCTGACAATTGACGAAATTCAGTTAACGTCTTTGTAACACATTCCATTCGTGCCTCCATAGCTTCTTCGAAGATAAGAAAATCATCAGCAAACATCAAATATGTTATATCTACACCATTCCTTCCTACGCAAAAAGGCTTCCACTTTTCCTTTTGCACCACATGACTAATTAAATGAGACAACGTATCCATACAAAGGACAAAAAGATAAGGTGAGATTGGATCTCCTTGTCGAATTCCCCTTCGAGGACGAAAAAACTCATTCCTATTACCATTCCAGTTCACATTCGTCTCCATGCCCGTAACTCCACGCATGATGAGGTTTATCATATTATCAGGCAAATCAATTTCTTCCAAAGTTCTCCAAATAAACTCCCAATTAAGTTTATCACACGCTTTAGCTAAATCGGTTTTCACGGTAAAAAAACCTTTCTTTCCTTTCTTATTACTCATGCTATGAATCACCTCATTCGCAATAATAATATTCTCATGAATCTATTTTCCAAGCACAAACCTGTTTGATACGGCGACACCAACTGATACATGTAAGGTTTCAATCTTCCACCTATCACCTTAGTAATAATTTTATACATTGTATTACATAAGGAAATATGGCGGAATTGAGTAACCTTTTGAGGATGATCCACTTTCGGAATTCTATAAATATTCGTCTTATTAATATCCACAATGATACTAGGGTTGAACCAAGCCTTTTTTACAAAGTCACCTAAACCAGCACCCACCACATCCCAAGCTTTCTGATAAAACCCAGTAGGAAATCCATCAGGACTTGGAGCTTTCCACAGTTTCAGAGAAAATAAAGCTTTCTTGACTTCTTCTATACTAATATCCTTCTTAAGCAGGTCAAGCTTATCATTTTCCAACTCTGGAAAAATAACATCAGACTGCTTCCAAATATATCCAGTATAAGGCTGAGAAAACAAATCCTTGTAAAACTCGGTGGCATGCCTCTTAAGAGTTTAATGGTCAGTAATTCACTCACCATCATCATTTTTCAACATGTTGATCTTGTTTCTTTTCCTCCTAGAAATGGTCTACATATGATAATACTTGGTGTTTTGATCACCATCTGCCAGCCACACAGTTCTTGATCTTTGATACCACATAAGTTCTTCTTCGTTTAAAATACTACTCAGCTCCTCCTGTAACTTTTTTCTCTAGTCTTCTCATTCCACCTCTATTATCTTGAGTTTGAAACTTCCTCTGGATACCTTCTAGTCTTCTTGTAATTTCCTTCTTAGCTCTTTTGATTTTATCAAAAGAATTAAACTTCAATTTTTCTATTCCTTCCACAACATTCTTCAAATTCAAAACTAAGGAATTATCCTCTCTTCACGCCTCCTTTAGCATGCTACTATATGTATCGTAAGTAAGCCATGCATTTTCAAACCTAAAAGGTTTCTCAACGTAGTTATGAAACTCCACCTTCAAATTAACAAGAATTGGATGGTGGTCTGAAAATTTCACCCTCATTAACACTTTCACATAGGCTTCAGTGAACATCATCCTCCACTCATCATTACTCAAAACCCTAACAATTTTTTCGTATATACGATGTCCACCTTGGAAGACTGGTCCTCTCCTTAAGGACTCTTGACTCCATATCACTAATCCAGCACCTATCCATTCTATCCCTTAATCTCTTACACCTGTTCAAAGAAGCAGGAACTCCACCTCTTTTCTCACTCACATGAGTAATATCATTAAAATCCCCTGCCAACATCTAGGGAGCTTGCATACTATTTGCTAAATCTGTCAACTCCTCCCATAACATATTCTTATTATTTTCATGCGGACTGGCGTAAATAGAAGTAAAATTCCACTCTTACTCATTATCAAATTTAATTTGCATATGCGGAAACTGCTCTCCTTTTTTAGAAGCTTAACATTCAAAAAACTTGACTTCCACGCCAACACAATTCCTCCAGCAAAACCTATATTAGCACTACTTTCAAAAGCTTCAAACCCTAGCTTCTTGAAAGTCTTACTAAGCTTAGTAGGGTCACATCTTGTCTCTACCACTACCATCAAGTTCGACCTATAACTATCCACATAGTGCTTGCAATATCTATAAAAGGCACGACTCGTCGCCCTTCTACAATTCCACACCAGAATTTTGTTATTTGTACTCATCATAAAAACTAATAAAAAGATGGTAAATAAATCCAGTCAAAGGGTTGCACATATTTCCTTAACTGATTCCTCCACTTCCAAGTCATCACTCATATTTCCATTGTCCGCTTCATTCATATTTTTTAGGTTCAGATTATAATTCCCATACGTAAAAAACACCTTTTGGGATTTCTCATTATTACCATCAGGTGGTTCGTCTAACTCAATGGTTACATCCTCCTTTGCATGGTCATGAACCAAACCCGTATCTCCATCTGGCACTCTTTCTTTCATACTTTTTCTATACATTCCTCCCACTCCATCAGAATTCTCTCTCCTAATTAAATTAAATGTTTCGTGTTTGTCTCCCTCTTGATTTCCATCAATGTTAAAATTATCCAATAAGCCTTCAACACCTTTCATGCTTATACCACTGGTTTTATCCTTTATTTGGATGCCTCCACGTGTTGCTAAGGAATTGGTTTTTTGTTCCTGCATCTCCTGAATATGTATCCTACCTCCACTACCAGCCATAAAAACCTTCTTTTTCTTTTGATTGATCACTTCATTATGTTCCCCAATAACATCTTGCCACCTCCTCATATCTCCTACGCTATTATTTTGAGATCTCCCTTCTTCACCAAACACCTCCTGAATAATATCACGTGTCTCGTCATTAATTATTTCTTTTTAAGAATTTATTCCAAAATTGGACTCAGTGTGAACATTCCTCATATTTAAACCTTCAGTTATAACAATAACTCCTGCATTAATTGTATTATCATTTCCATTTAAAGCAATATCTTAATTTTCCAATGCTTGAAATCTCGACCCTCCAAATCCAGTCTTATCATTAATTCTCACTGGAATATTATTCCTCTGGCCTTCCACCCCCACTTTTCTACCTCTCTTCTGTTTCTGCACCACCTTCCAAGGCCCATCCTCCACATTATTTCACATGGAATTTTTGCCCCTCTCTATAGCTTGCTGACTCAAGACTATCTCTTTGTTACCACCACTTCCTACAACATTTCATTTCTCCTTCTCCTTCTCCTTACAACCCTCCTTATAATGTCCATATCTCCCACACACAAGACATAAAAGATGCAAACCTTCGTACTCTATCTTATAGTTACTCCCTCGAATCTTGAACATCGCTAGCAATGGTTGAGATAAACTCAAAGCTACACAAATACTCGCATATTTCCCTCTTTCCTGTTTGATCCTTGTCTTATCAACCTTAATGGTGCGAACAATTCTATTTCCAAACACCGTCAAAGCCCTTGGATCATTATACTCAATAGGAAGCCCCGTAATACAAACCCACACTGCCACTTCGTCAATAGTATCACTTTCAGGTTGGAAGTTTGGACGCTAGTCTTTAACGGTGAGATAATGGTCGTAAATGAACCAAGGACCATTTTCCATTGCAGCTTTCTTATCATTTTCATAATAAAATGCGACTAAATAATAGTCATTGCTTAAGTCAATGATACTAATAACACCTTTGTGAATCCACATCTGATTCAATCTGTTTTCGAGCGCTTTGAAGCCTATACGTCTCCCTAGCAGCTTCACAATCACGCCTCTTCTCCATGGTTTTTGAATTCTTTTCTCCTCTTCCACCAAAAGTTTAAAGTTTGGACACTCATAGCCTCCCACCTTCTCTTCTTCTATTGTAATCTCCCCAGTACTTTCATTCAGTATTTCGTCATCTTCCTGCGCCTCCCGACCTACCTTAATCTCCTGTGAATACCTACCAGTCATGATGTCTCTGAAGGAGATATCTTATTTCTCATTCCCCTTTTCTCCCACCTTTTTCACTTTCTTCGTGCGCCTTTCATGGAGATCTATTTCAGCGGTACCTTTTCCATGGTCAGCTTGGTTTTTGCCAAACCCTAGAATAGGATTCGACGTTGATGTCATTTGAGTCTCATGGGAGTTTATTCTTTATGTCATTTTCTTGTCATGTTGTATTTTATTTTGGACACTTTAAATGTTGGATTTTCAAGTACTTTCCATTTTGAGCAATTAATAATGCATTGAATATTATCATTAATATTATTTGTCATAGTTTATTTATATGTCAACTCTTAAAATTGGAACTCGGTGTCATTGGGACCATCGTGCCTATGGCTGACACCAGTTTGGAGTTCGAGACATGGTTATAATTTTGAGCTCGACATCTTTGGGACCACTATACCGATGGTCGATGTCATATTGGAGCTGAGGTATGATTTTAAGTTCGGTGTTGCCAAGACCACTGTGTCGGTGATCGACGCCATATTGGAGCTGAGGCGTCATGGTTTGCAAAATCATGCAACTTCTTTGGCTTTAAGGCATTTGATAGAAATTGTTAAGGACCGACAAAGAACATAGTAGTTTGTTTGTGGGATCACATTGGCATACTATTTTTTTGCCACACTCCACATTGATGACTAGTTGACGGAGTCTGTAATATCTGTAACTATGGAAGGTTTTATGTCAATGAAAGATATAATAATCATCATGATTTAATAATGTTTGACTTTTGTCGGATGAAGTCATATTCAGATACTGCACATGGAGTCATGCATTTTCTTAGAATACAGCCGTGTTTTAAGGAATTAGTCATTAACCTGAGAGTCGTTTTTAAAATGTGTTTTTAAAATTAAAACCACACAATTGATTTTGCTGAAGTGGGAGAATGTTAGATTTATTTAACATTTTGTGGGCTACAATAAATTGTTATTTAGTTTCTGAGAAACGAGTTAATCATGATTCTGATGGGAGTGCATAAATAGGCTCATTTATTGGTTAAGTGACCATTTTAATTAAAGTCTGGGTATCTTAAACCTGATTGATGTGGGCTTTTAACCCTTGATCTATAATGGGTACGGACTAAGGTTATATACATTATTTGGCTAGGTCTCTCCTCTGTAATCACGAAATCAGAAACATAAGTGACGGCTCTACAACTTACTCCATTGAGAGTTGTGAACGGGAGTGTGAGATACAGATGAAGATCCGGTCATTCATCTTTTCAGGATACTGAATCAAAGTGACAATAACGATCATCCTTATTCCTAAATCATATCTACAACAAGTAAGTATTGATGTTCTAATTTCATATAATTGATTCATGAAAATTTTCGGCTTACACTGAATTCACTCACATGTTCTGTATCGATAATAACAAGAATCTTATTTTGTAGAAAACTCTAAAAATAGTGATAATGGCCACTTTCATCGACGCATTATAGGGTTTTAACCGTGTAAATCATCTACTCAACACAATTTCTACGTCTAGAAACCTTTTTAAAAGAAGAATTTCCTCAGTTGATTCTGAAACACTTTCGCGATCTTAGAGTTCAATGTTCGAATTTATAAATCAGACATCATTTATACTTTTCGACGTATAAACGATGTCATTATGTTCCTATAGCAAACATATTTGCTTTTGAAAACATAATGTTATCTCTCTATTATGTTAGTCGGAAGCATAATGTCTAAACTAAAGCAGTAATTTAAAAAAGAAATATGGGCATAGCAACTGTTTTTGATTCTGTTAATCACATGTCCGTATCTTGCACACAAATTGAGCATGGAACCAAATGAGCAGCCTCAATAATGACGCAATGTTCTCTATAAAGTGCAGACAAGCAAAATTTAACAACCAAATTAAGGAAATTGCAACCATGGGAAAAAGAAAAGTATCGGTGGTTAGCGAATTTATAAACAAAGGACATATTACATACCTGCAGTGAGTCATGTTCTTTTGTTTGTTCCATACAAAACTTGTTATTATGCACTATGCAGCATTGCTTCCACTGGGCTCTTCAATGTCTTAAACTATTACCACCATTTTCATCCTTTTCTTTTCTATAAAGAGGACATATTCCATACTCTTTCACTATGACACTTGATTTAGAAGATGAGAGATATTCAAGTTTGCTGCACCCAAAAGTGAAGTTGTGGGCATCTAAGAGCCTGTTGCCAATGCTTGATAAGTTCAAGTGATATTTCCACATGAATATGTGATTTTGGACGACTGACCTACTTCGACCCTTCGTATGGAAATAGTAGTTTATCTCGTTAAAATTATGGACAATGTGTGTCCGGCCATCAGATTCATATGTTAATGTGTATGTAAAGCTGCTGCAAATCGGTATTGTATCATCAATATCCACACGTCCCAAAACGACACTCAGGGCAAAACCAACAAGCCTATTATTACTAGGCCAATCTTGAGAATCTCTTTTCATGGTTACCGGACGTCCAGTACAACGATAAGGGAACCAGCCAGGAACTGCACTCCCTGGAAAACAGAAGAACAAAGGCCGATATGCATCCTCGGTGATCCTAAGCCATGATTCAGCCCCAATATTACTGCAAGCAGTTTCATCCAGTTCTTGACTATTGAAGAAATGAAATTTGAAGGTATCCTTTTTGGAATTTGTCATCATTCTTCCAAGGGTGGGGCAATCATACCCAAACAACTGGTTCAAGGATGGGGGTAGTGGTGGCATACATGCAAGATTTTTGCAATCACTTAAATCAAGTGATTTTAAACTTGAGAGATGAGCTATGCTCTCAGGAAGGTTCACAATACTGCTTTCTTGCAGTGAAAGTTCCCTCAATGATGAGAAACTACCAATATTATTTGGGATTTCTGTTAAACTGTGACAGCCAGAACAGTCGAGTTCAGATAGATAGTTTAGATTCACAATGCTGTTTGGCAATGACACCAGATTAGTGCACATGTTCAGGCACAATGTTTGAAGCCTGACCAAATACTCCATGGATGAAGGCAGTTCCTTTATTGCTGTTTTTGTTAGATTAATGTGAACAAAAGTTTCTGCAGGCTCCAAGATCTCTGGGAAGGTTTTCAGCATTAAGCAACAATGTAAATCAAGTTTTGTCAACTTCAATTTGAAAATACTGCTTGGAAAAGTTTCAAGTGATTCACAACCGATAAGATCTAACTTGCTGAGTTTGCCAAGACTTCCAATGGAAGATGGAATCATCTCAAGCTTCCGACAATACCGCAAGCTCAATTCTTCAAGTCCAACCAAATGGTGCAACGATGAAGGTAGTTCCTTGATTGCTGTTTCGTCTAAGACAAGCAACATTAAACTTTCTACAGTCTCCTTAATCTCACCAAAATCTTCAAAGTTAAAGCAACCGCGAAGGTAAAGTCTTTTTAAAAATTTTAACTTGAAGATTTCAGTTGGAAGGCTCAAGAGGAATTGACAGTACGAGAGATCTAACCAACAAAGCTCATTAAGACTCGGAAATAATGAGGGCGACTCTTTTCTCAACACTTCTAATTTTAGTAATTGCATATAATGTTTTGGTTCTGTATTTAACTTAAGACAATCTAAGAGGTCAAAAGAATTTGAGAATTTCTCGTAAGGGGACCTTGATCGCTTTTCTCTTAGTTTTAGGGCAGTAAAAATGTTTCTGTGCCTGCTGACCGTATGACCGTGTAGTTGAACCCCCATTTTTGCATTACCAACTGAAAACATCTCAAGATCGCGACAGCCATGGAGCACTATTAATCCAGAAGTTGTCAGGAGAATATTGCTAGGAATGTGTAAACTCCTAAGGCTAATACAACCATTTAACCATAAACATTTGAGCTTGCACAGGAAACTAGAGGAGTAAACTTGGCCCAACTTTTTGCAATGACTAAGGATCACTTCTTCAATGTTTGGGCATTGAGCGAGGTCTGGTATTTGAATCAGGGCCTGAGAACCACGAAGGTCAAGTATTTTCAAATTTGGTAAAACCTGGAACAAAATAAATAAACAATTAGCTAACATAAAGAAAAGCTTGTAAACTTAACCACATGTATTCTATGACTGATAGAGCAAGAACAATTTAAGTTTGAACAAGCATAGTCTTGCATTATAAATATAACAAAAACTTGAAATACCTTATCACCCTGCCAAAGTTGTGTAAGATGGCTATGTGGCATATCGAGTTTAACGAGATTTTTGGGGGAAAAGTCCAGTGGAAAAGATTTTTGAGGGAAGCCATCCCAACGAAGAAACTTTAAATCATCTGGAAGACTTTCAAGACACGTAGGAAGGATCACATTTGAGTCTTTTGTAAAGTCATAAGGGTTATAAAACACAATCATTCTAAGATTATCCATCATTTTGAATGTTTCAGCATGTAGTTGAACTTTTTCTATCTTGCATACGTTCAGAAACATACACCGGATTGCATCCGTCCCCTAAGAGTACATGCAATGAATTAGAGACAGAGAAAGAAAAAAGTGGTAGCAGGACCTTTGTATTCTGCAAGTAAAATACATGAGTGAGTTTGAGGGACATAATACCTTGTTGTTTTTTAAAACTTTATAAATTTCCTCATGCTTCCATAATCGACTACGTTTTCCAGGATCCTCGATACATTGTTGACGAACAATTTCGTGTCCCATTTCCTGTATTAGATTGTGCATCACAATTCTACCTTCTAAAACAGATATAAGGCCCCTATCTTTGAGAACTTCCATTCCAATAAGTGCTGAGAAACCACAACTATCCAGTGTTAGTGCCACAACATTCTCCGAATATCCTCTATAGAAACAAGCTATGTCAAGAAATATATCCTTCTCTTCTTCGTCCAACCCTTCATAACTTAATTTCAACATTTTGAAAATGTTATCATTGGGTAGCTTTTCCAGCTTCTTTAACTGACTTTCCCATGCTTCCTCTGTTCTTCTGGAGTAAAGCAAGGAGCCTAAAACTTCCAGAGCTAATGGAACCCCTTTAGCATAGTTTAATACCTTTTTTGATAAGTCGACATAAGGTTCTACGGGATAGTTTTGTTTAAAGGCATTTAAACTGAAGAGTTGTAGAGAATCTTTAAAACTCATCTCTTTAACTTCATATATCTCACTAGCTTCGGCGTTCTTTAGTACCTGCATGTCTCTACTAGTCACAATGATTCTAGTACCCTCCCCGAAGTTACTGCAGGTTCCAATTAAATCTTTAACTTGATTTGAATGACTCACATCATCAAGAACAAGGAGAGCCTTTGTACTTTTGAGACTTAATCCAGAGGATGTGCTGTCTTCCCCTAGAAGCTCTGATATGTATTTGTTTTTCACATGGTATACTCCAGCTCTTTCTACTTCTTGTCCAACATTTAGAATAATACTCCTTGAACTGAAATTAGTTGCCAGTTTGTGATATATTGCTCTAGCAATTGTTGTTTTGCCTATTCCTCCCATACCCCAAATTCCTACAACTCTAAAGTCTTCTGACTCAAGGTGCAACAAAGATTGTATTTGTTCAATATGCTTCTCAATTCCAATCATACCCTGATAATCGTTCAAGAAAGAGTGATTCAAATTCAATTTTCTTGAAATATCTTTCACAATTTCTTCAATAAGCCTGTTTTCTGGTCTGGTGCATAATAAAAAAAGAAATGCATTAGTTAAAAACGAGGATCAAAGTACTATTAGGCTCAAACTATAACAAAAGAGTGACCTGGTGACTTTTGAATCCCAACCAGAGAGTCCAGCTACTTGGGTTAGAGCAGCTTTCCATGCATCCAGTTGATGATCCTTAAATCGACGTTGATGCTTAACAAAAGCTTCTGCATAGCTCTGTCTTTGATTCCTCACATCTGATGAATCCACCTCGTAGAAGATTGGTATCACATCCCTTCCGTATCTATCTTTACATTCGAGTATTTTGGCGAGTTCGTCTAAACACCAAGTGGAGGAAGCATAGTTCTTGGACAAAATGACAACATAAATCATTGATTCTTCAATTGCTTTGTAGAGTGCTGGAGAAATCTCTTGGCCTCTAGCGAGTTTGTGATCCATAAATGTTTCAATCTTTTTCCTGCCTAGTTCAGCATAAAGATGACTGATGAAGTTGTCACGTGTGTCCTCCCCTCGGAAGCTGAGGAACACATCATGCTTCCGAGTTGGAGGAGGAGACATATCATCAGCAGCAAAAGCACAGGAACTGAGTCCCAGCATTGAAAGGAAACAAGCTGTATTTTCCTCACTCTACACTACACTTCTTAACTGAACTCTGCTATTCAGAAGCTACAATACTTGTGTATTTTTGCTGACTCTTTTAATCATTGACTTTTCATTTAAAAGACACACAACCACTCATTTGAGGATAAAACGATACTCCCTCCCTCTCATTTGCATATTTTCTTTATGTCTTAAAGTAATTCTCTCTTTAAAATATTAATATAATATTTATTATTTTTTTCTCCACTCATATATTTCTATTCAGTTATTTTTAAGTTTTTCAATTATTCTAATAACTATAATAAATAAAAGTAAATATAATGGAGCAAGGTTGGATAATGTAGTTTTCCACTTTTTAAATGTAATAATTAAATTCTTTAAACTAAAAGAGAAAAATAAAGTGAAAAATCAAACCATTGAATGGTCCCATAATACACTATAACAACGACTTCAAAGTCAATTGTTCCAAAAGACATAAAAGAATCATATAGCCTAATGGATGGGCTGCCATTCAAAAAAGACATAAAGCAATACGTAATTTATGGGTAAAAAATAAAGTGACAAATAAAGTGTTTATTTCTTTATCAGACTTCTTTTTCCTATCCTTAACATCTTTTATAAACAAAATTTTCAATGTGTTGAAGCAATTTAAAAGTAACATGAATACAAAAAATAAATTTATACAGTATACTGTTATTTTTTAAAAAGTCTCTTTCTATTCTTTACAACCATTTTTCTTTTTGTGATTTTATTTTGTATGTTTTAATATTTAATTTCTTTTTTCTTTTTGTTTCGTCAAAAGCATTTTTTTTCTTTTCACCATTAAAATTTGATTTTCTTTTTTAAATATTTCCTTTTTTTTCTCAAGTTTGTTTTTTAAATACCCTTACATTTTTAGGTGCTCTCCTATCCTTACAAGGTGGTGATCATTGTTTTTCTTTTAAATTTAACTAAGGGTTATAACATTGGAAAATAAATATTCATTTTAGACTCAACATGGTTGACAAAGGATCACATCTCACTAGATGGATTTTTTGATCAAGTAGTTTTTTATTTAAAATCAAACAATTTCTTGATCATATACATAAATTTAAATATATCACGTAGTAGTAAGGTTTGATGAAATATATATAGTTAACGTGTTAACGTGCATGTAAAGTCTTATGCAAAATTTGAGATTACACGCATTTCATTTTAGTAGACTTATGGTTGACTATTTTAACATATTTTCACCATACATTTATAAAAAAAATACACTCTTAATTATTTATTAAGAAAATCAAATAAATTGATAAATATATAAGAGTATTAAAGATAAAAGAGAAATATATAAAAGTAGCTCCATGTTACAATATTCACTTTATGTGACAAATTTATCTTATTGATTTTTTAACCTTTTCAATATTTGTTTGTACCGGTTTAGCTTTTTTTTTTTTTAAATATACATTAAAAGATATGCATTATTTTTAATTTTGTAAAAAAATTTTTTTTCTTTAATTAAATTTTAAGTATCTTAAAAAATTGAAATTGTTAGAATTTTCCATCTTCTTCATCATTTTCTCAATCTAATAGTTTAAAGGTAGCGCACTTGTAAACCAACATTACATATACAATCAATAAATTTTTTTATACTTATCATATCATAACGGTTGGAAAACCATCAAAATTTATGGAGAATTTCTATCAATCTTGATGAACAAGATTATTATTGATACATAATAACAATGAAAAGAAAGTTGAGGAAGTAAAAAAATTAGGGTTAGACAAAATATAGAAGATGATTTTCTACAGAGTTACTCTCTGCCCACAAATTGTGGAAAACTACATTATCCAACCTTGCTCCATTATCCAACCTTGCTCCATTATATTTAGAATGCTTAGGTTTAGGATTTTGAAAAAAAAGAGAGAGAGTTTGCAAATACGCAGAAGCGACTGAAATTTGAGAGAGAGAGTAAAAAGTAAATAAGAAATTTTGCAAAGTATTTATAGCTTATGAAAAAAAGAATTTTTAGAGTAATAAAACCGGTAAAGAATTTAGAACGATTGAATTAAAAAATAATCATTACAAGCAATTAATGAAATTTGACATTAAGGGGAAGCGTGAGATTTTGATCAAATCTCAACAGTTACCTAGGAATGGCGTCTCAATAGCAGTGCACGCATGCGTGACCTTTCAGAGTTGAAACACGCATTCAACTTCCGAGGAGAGCGTGTGACAGTTGTTTTAATGTAATGAACTTATGAACCATTCTTGTAATGAAACGTTAGACACATTTCAGAACTTTATAGATGGTTTATGATGTAACTCCTCTTCTAACTTCTGAAGAGTAGTTAATCAGAACATTCATTTCAGAACATTCTGAAAACATATATAGAGAAAAAAATTTCATTCAGGACAAAGCTCCATACTGATGTCTTTCAGAATGAATTTAAATTTATCTTCAGAAAGGGGTTTAGTAAAATTATCAGCCCATCGATGGTCTGTGTCTATGAAGTTTAAACTCAAAATTCCTTTCTGAATGTAGTCCCTTATGAAATGATGTTTAATTTCTATATGTTTTTCCTTAGAATGTAAGTGTTGCAATTGGTTTTTTAATCAGAGTCGCCACCCTTAATTTTTATCCTAATGGAAGGGAGTATAAAGGAATAACCCTAAAGTTCAGAGATTCTAGATTTGGACTCGGTTCTAGACGAGGGGAAGGTGTTAGGCACCCCTTATCTACCTTGTTCGCAAGGATACTAGGTTTAGAAGTGCGATGTTTAGGAAATAGGGTTTTAATTATTAATTAAGGAAAAGGGTTTGAATTTTAGTTAGCGGAACTCGCAACGATTTTTGATCGTATGCCTACGTATCCTCAGGAGGAATCAGAGTCTCATTTCCGTAGTTCGCGGTGTTGGTTGGTGTTTTTTTATAGATTGCGAAATATATTTGAATCTCCCGCATACGTAGTCTAAGTGCACAATTGACCCAAATATATTCGTATTCTTTTTTCGAAAATCAATATTGAATTAATTTATCACAAAAAAATTATTTGGTGTTTGTTTATGTATATTTTTTATACGTAGAGCAAAGGAGTCTGATATAGCCTCCTCGTCACGTGGCCAGATATTGACCACGTATCGCTTGCGGATGTAGTAATTTAGTGAATCGCGTAGATTTTGATATTTTTGTAAAATATTTAATTAATTATATTTAAAAGTATACCAATGTGTACATACCAATAAATTTCTATCTAACAACCAAAAATATGTGTTTTTTTAGTGTTTTGGTTAATGATTAAATTAATCAAATCTAATTATCTAACTAATAAATCTAACAAGAAAGACTAACATGAATAATCAAATTAAATTATTTAAACTAAGGGGGCGTATATATTCTAAGATTATGTACTATGTTTAGTATTTGTTTGATATAGCCTAAATACTTAAACCTAGAAAAAGCCCAATTAAGATCTAAAGAACATTAACCTAATTACTAGCATCCTAAAAATTAAAATTTGATTATTAAATAAATATACGTTATATGCATAACAAAGAATTAAAATAAAAACCAATATAAGCACTTTGGGGGAGGCCCCTTCTACCAAGACTCAGAAAAGAATTACGCTACAAAAAATGCTAATTTAAACCATTACTCATTCAAACTTAATCAACCCTTTAAAAGAAACCAATAGGAATAGGACAAGTGTCTAGTTAATATTAATAATAATAATAATAAACATAAATAAAAAACAAATAAAGCACATGTTATAATAGAGAGAGAGAGAGAGAAACGTATCAAGCCATAATCTCTCTTTTTCTTTTCACGAGACAACAACAATTTTTCCTGTTTCTCTTCTCTTTCTCCCATAGTAAAAAAAACAAGCCTCCTCCCTTTCTTAAAACATCCATGGATTCAAACACAATCAAATATATAACAACATAAAAGTATAAATAAGAAATTACCCACATGGATTCTCGAAGGTCTCTTGTGGTGCCGTGATCAATGCATGCAGCGGATGTGTGCGATGGGTGCTGGCCGAAAATGTGATAGGCCGTGCGCAGAGAGTGATGCAGGACTTTCCGGAGAGGTCTGCGTGGTGGTGCTTCGCTCGTGTGGCGTAGATTCGGAAGGAGATCGGTGATGAGAGCAGCAGAGACGATGGAAAGTGGGGTTTCGGATATCGAAACCCCAGTCGACACTTTTCTTCTACAACAAATTCGCGGCTGAGTTCTTTTTTTTTTTGTAAGATTCGCTCCCCTCAGTACTGTTGTCGTCTTCTCTCTCTTTGTAATTTTTCTGATTTTATAGCGTTTTTAATCTTTAGAAAATAAGGAAGAGTAATTATATTTTCTGTAAATTTAATTCATAGAATTAAATTACGATTTTAGAATTAGGAAATGTTTTGAAATCCTGTCTGTAAGCTCATGAACAATGTAATTATAGCTTTGAACGATGTTTAATGAAATTCCTAATTTGGACGATTCTGTTTCTGTTGTATGCTTCCATTCCTTGTGCTGGCAATGATTCTGTAAAAGGAATGGAAATATTTTGTTTTGAAACCTAAAGCAAGCATTTCTTTTTTCTCAAATCTGTACAGTAACTGTTTTCAAACTTTTTGGATCATTTAGACTCGGGCTGTCTGCTTGGGTTTTTGGGCTTTGCATTGACATTTTGATATTTGCAATAACAACAGTTTACACAAAAATGGGCTTGCCTCTTGTTTTGGACAAGGGCCTATTGCTTCAAACAAGTATTTTATTTTTTTAATAAAATTGCAAGAACTGTTATAATTAAAAAGAAACAAAAATAACCTTTCCTCTAAAACAGACAACAACAAAAAATACTAACTGGGCCACAGTGTTTGGGCCTTTATTCCTAATCAAACAATCTTTTTAAGCCAACACTTCCCTTTGAATCAAACAAATAGAAAATAATCTCTAATTAAGTTTTTAATATAACGCCTTAATTAAAATCAATGTTAATGTAATTATTAATAACTATTTTAATAAATAAATAGTAAAGATACTAATAATAATATTATGATAAAACATTTTCAAAATAAATTCAAAACTGAAACGGGCCAACTATTTCCGCTATTGGGCCTTGAACAAAAAAAATGAATTGTTTCACACCTCCTTGATTAAAATAATACACCTTTCTTGTTTAATTTTGAAGTGGACCCTCCTTTTTTATAAAAAACAATGGGCCATCAGATATTGATGGTCCGTTTTAAATCGACACACCTCTTTTGACTTTAAACAACCCTATAAAAGTGAGAACTAAATAATACGATTATTTGAAGAAAAACCCTAGATTAGGGCAGGGCAAATTTGGGGTATGACAGTAAGATATGATTTTTTGAAAGAAAAATAGCAAATGTATTATAAAAAATGATATGAATCTTACTTTCATAGAGATGATAATCTTCCAGATGGCTCTTCATTCAGATCATCTGAGTGCTACATCCAGCAACAGATATATATTCTGCTTCTGTTGTTGATAGTGCAATAGTGGCTTGCTTCTTGCTGTACCATGAGATAATGTTATCACCCAGAAACGGACATATTCTAGAGGTGCTTTTTCGTTCTATTCTATCTCCAGCAAAGTCAGCATCACAATAACCTACTAGTTTAAACTCTTTTGATCTTCTGTACCTGCAGAATTTTCATTCTGCTTTGGCTTTTGCCGGCCAAGCTTATCATCAAATATGACTTTGATTGATTATTCAACAATCAGAGTTTCTGTGTTGTATACCCTATAGCCTTTTGAGCGTTTAGAATATCCAAGCAGAAAACACTTTTGTGCCTTAGAATCAAACTTGTTCAGATTATCTTTAGTATTCGGAATATAGCAAGTACATCCAAAAGGATGAAAATATGAAATGTTGGGTTTTCTGTTTTTCCACAATTCATAAGGAGTCTTTTCAAGAATAGGTCTTATAGAGACTCTATTTTGAATATAACATGTTGTGTTCACTGCTTCTTCCCAGAAGTGTTTAGCCATATTGGTTTCATTAATCATGGTTCTGGCAATTTCTTGCAAAGTTATTGATCTGACCTGATCAGAAGGTTTGGACCGTCACGGCTGCTCCGAGCTGAAGGCTTTTTGAACGAGGAGGGGGGGGGGTACCTGCAAGGCACTCCGATGCTTAAGTCAGTGGGAGTACTAGCAGATAATAGAGTTGAGGTTAGAATTGATCATTACCTGACCCTCTGGAAGCAGAGGGTATTTATAGCCCCCAGCGCTGGGCCAAGGTTCCTTCACTGGGCCGGGCGGATTTGGCCCAATGGAGGAACTGCCAGGTCCTACGTGGGTAGTGGGGATCAGCACGTGGTCCCCTCCCTGGATGTGGTGCGTGAAGTGCGGGCGGACAGAGACGCGGTCTCTACGGAGTATCGTTGGGGCAATGGTGACTGAGTCTGCCCTAGCAAGGTAGCTTGAGTCCATGTCGAGCAGTGCAGCGTGATGTCGAGCTCGGTGCCAAGACCCCGAGCTGGACAGCGAATGTCGAGCTGGAACCCAGGGCATAGAGCTGGACGGCAGTCTGTCGAGCGTGACTTTGTCGCGTGGGCTGGCACACTGGGATGTCGAGGTGGACATCAGGGTGTCGGGCATAGACGTTGTGGTCCTTAGCGAGTCCCATTGGACTGGGCCTTAGTAATGCTTTTGGGCCTGTCGGGCCCAGTCCAGAACAGGAGCCCCCCAAGTCGTGGTTCCTTTGCGAGGAGCCATGACTTGAAACCTTGTTCAGTCGCTGAGGTCTCGTGCCCAGAATGGAGGCGCGGCCCCTCGAGGAGCCTCCTCGTGTCGTGCTCGGGAACGTCCTCGGTGGTGGATGCGTGGAGGGTCCGTACCGAGCACGTTGGTCGGGCACGCGAGGCATCTTTTGGGAATTGTGCCGCCACCCTAGGGGGGTAGGGCCATCATTGCGTTGGGTGCAGTGCGTCGAGGAGACGGAGTCCGTGGCTAAACGAGGTGACGTTTGGTATTCCATGTCATCACTATAAATAGGGTCCTTGGGCCCCATAATACGCTTTCCGTTCTTCGTGCTCTCTTCGTTGCAACTCTCAACACTCTCTCCAACCGTGACTTCCCGTCCCAGATTCTTCTTTTCCTAGCCGAATCCCATCTTTGATCCAAGTAAGTGATCCACTCTCTTTATTTTCTTGTTTTAGAATGCATGATTCTAGGACCGTTAATGTGGGATTAGCCCGGTAAACTCGTGTTTTGCCCGACAGATTTACGTCTAGGACCGGCAAACGCATACTTGTGGCCAACGCGTTCATAGTTTTAGGTGAAAAACTTCAGGGCTGCCCGGGGTATTCATGATCCTGGGCGCCTGATTCATGCCGGTGCCCGGTATGTTTATGGTCGTGGCCGTGGGCTTCATAATGCGGCTCGCCATGTTCATACCCCGGACCGACATGCTTGAAGAGTGGCCGTGCAGTTGGTTTGTGGAGGAACACTGGATTCAGGAGAGTCGGGGAGGCATCCACTTGTGAAAATGGACTTGCGGTAGTGTATGGACGACATGATTATGTCGAGCATAGGGCTTCATGCTCAATCTGATTGGTTTCCCGTGCTCTGCAGGTAACCATGGCGGATGAGCCGAGCTCCTCAGGTCGTCATGACAGCGAAGAACAAAGTGCCGACGAGTCGGCCAACCTTATCGACACTGTGACCGACCCGTCGCTGGAATGGGTGGGCGCCGAGCCTCGGGGGACGGCGTCGATATACGGTCGGGATGACCGACACCCGTTCATCGCCATTGAAGGGGGGCAGGACCAGCCCGACTTTCAACCGAATTTCGAGGTCATGCTGCCTGCGACCACTGCCAGAATCTGCTCGATGTACCCGGATTACAGTTTTGCGATGTACGAGATCGCCTTTAAGGACTTGGGTTTGCGGCTGCCCTTCACAGACTTTGAGACCGGGGTTTTTACGCATTTGGAGCTGGCCCCGTCCCAGCTGCACCCTAACTCTCTCGCCTTCATCCGGGCGTTTGAGCTGACGTGCCGCTACTTAAGGATAGGGGCGACCATACCCCTCTTCTTTAGGGTCTTCCACCTACAGCGCCAGTCCCGGGGAGGGAAGCACAGCTGGGTGTCCTTGAAGCAGTCGAGGAGACTGTTTAGGATGTACATGGATTCTGTGAGGGGGTTCAAGGATAAGTGGTATGTGGTACACCCTATCACTGATTCTGCTGTGGATTCCCTCTACGAGGAGGAAGGGCCGGTCAGCGATGACGACGGGGAAGCATTGTTGAACGATGACGGGAGCCCCGTGCTAGGACGTCGGGCTAAGTTCCCGGTGTATTGGATGCCTCGACACTTCCAGCATGGAACCGGCTACTTCCACACTGCAGTCGGGGACATGTGCACGGAGGATCAGCGGGCGTACACGACCCTCTGCAACTTCGTCGACAGTTTTCATCCCGCCCAGTGGGTTACACGGGAGGGGAATGACATCCTCGACAAGGATGGTTACCCGACATTCGAGGCTCGCCCGATTGACACCAAGGCGTTGGTGGAATGTTCGACCTATAGGGAGGCAGCCCGCCTGTTAGGTTGTTTGTTTGCAATTTACTTGTCATTTATTTACGCGTTTTGCTCGATACTGACTTGTTTTACTTCGTGCAGGTACGATGGCCAGCCGACACGAGAGGCTCCTAAAATTGTCAGCCGGCCAGAGGCGAAACAAGAAGGTCGTCCCGGCTCCTCAGGCGACCAGAATGGGTCCACCAACAACTCTGAACCCTCTTCAGCATGTGAGGGTGGATTCGACGTCGAGCTCGGGGGCGGCGTCAGATCCAGATGTCGAGGTCATTGATGCCGAAGCCGTTCTGACACATAGGAAGAGGACCCGCGTGGAAGGCGGTCCGACTGTCGGGGAAGATGCCGGTCCCGTTCAATCCTTTGCCTTTCCCCCTTGCATCGAGGAGGAAGGTTTTTTCGAGCGGTTTCCCCCGACCGTGGTCGCTCATGAAGCCGAGGCCATAAAGAGGATGACTAAAGAGGAGAGGCGGTCGCGGCTGGTCGCCAGTGTGGACGGGTTGGTTAAAATGGCTGAAATGGCTCTGGTATTGTCTGAAGACGCAGGGGATGCTGCTCGTGTTGAAGAGCTCGAGCGGGAGAAGGCGGCCTTGACTGTGAGCTCAAGGAAGTTGAAGGTCGCTCTGGAACGCTCCGAGGGGATGTTCCAAGAGCAGACCGTGATACTTGACGCCGAGAGGGAGGCGCTGACCTTGGAGAAAGAGAAGTCGGGGCGGTTGACCGAGGAAGGGGAGTTGCTCCGGACGGACAGGGATCGTTTGGCTGCTGAAGTCGAACGCCTGGGCAAGCAGGTCGAGGGACTGAATGCTGCTCAACAACCCGCCGAAGATGAACCCGAGGACCTAATGGCTTTGAAGAGTCGGGCTGAGTTTATTGCTCATATCCGGAACCTCGAGGAGGACGCAGTCGGTGCCCTGGAAGACGGGTTCAATTCTGCCGTCGACCAGCTCTCGTTGCTAAATCCCGGCTTGGTCACCGAGGGTATCGGGCACACTCATCGGGTTGTCGGTGGTGCGATCATTCCCCCGCCCGACTCTCCTTGCGTCGATAGTGGTGATAATGCGGAAGTTTGATTTGTATTCTTTGGATAGCGGGCCTGCGTGCCCTTGATTTTTGAATTTGTACTTTGGGCCTGCGTGCCCGTTTATTGCATGTATGAACATCGCCGGCCTTCTTGGTCGGTTTAATATTACTTTGTTGCCTTCGGGCGTTTATACGTTTATTTTGGATTTTCTGCCCTTGTATGAACTGACATGCTTGTATGAATTTAGCTCGTCCCGGGCCCGACGAGTGCCCGTAGGTGGCTTTAATTTGGCGAGCGACTATGCTCGACTCTGTTTATGCGCAACCTCGACCTAATTTCGGTTGGCAGGGGTTGCTTGAGTGTTTCGCTCGAGAGGAGAGAATTTGTTTTGACCCTTGTAGATGTCCCGTTATTCTTGATGGAATGTCGGGTATTTCGGAGCGAGGTTGCTCAGTCGGGCGTGGAGCCCGTAGGGACGATTTGCCCTTGGCGTGAACTGCCCATCGCGAGCTGGGTGTTCTGCCTCATGGGTACGACGACGGTGGTGCTCGGTATAGCCGTCCACGTCGGGCACTATAGATCGTCAACGTCTACCGCGCGATGCCGTGCCATTTTTGTCGTGTGTCGGCCTGTACCTTAGCCTTAAACGAAGTGGGACGTTTTTCCTCGTCGCCCGAGCATGGTTGCTTCTGGTCGAGGGTCCTAGGTGTTGTCAGTTTTTAACTGTAGTACTGCTTCAACTTAGCAGCATTCCAGGGTCTTGGTAAAGGCTCTCCGTCTAACTGTTCGAGGTAGTACGCCCCGGTACCCGTGGTGCCGTGGACGCGGTAAGGTCCTTCCCAGTTCGCGGCCAACTTCCCCTCGCGGGAGTCTTTCTGGTTTCTGCGTAGTACCAGGCTGCCTATTTCGAACTCGCGCTTGATGACCTTGTCGTTGTGGCGTAGAGCCACTCGCTGTTTTAGGGTTGCTTCGCGCAGGGCAGCCCCCGATCGGATTTCCTCGACTAGGTCGAGTTCGTCCCTTAGTGCTTCGTCATTCATTTCTTCGTCGAGGGGTTCCTCCGTTCGTCGGGATGGTTCCATGATTTCGACTGGGATGACAGCTTCGGTGCCGTACGTTAGTCGGAATGGTGTTTCACCCGTCGTTGAATGGGGTGTGGTGCGGTATGCCCACAGGACGCTGTGGAGCTCCTCGACCCATCCTCTTTTGGCTTCGCCGAGTCGACGTTTGAGCCCTCTTAGGATGACTCTGTTCGCAGCTTCGGCTTGCCCGTTGGTCTGAGGGTGCTCGACCGATGTGAAGTGGTGTTTGGTCCCCAGTTTGGTGACGAAGTCTCGGAATCCGTGGTCGGTGAACTGGGTGCCGTTGTCGGTCACCAGTGCCTGTGGAATTCCGAACCTGGCGAGCACGTTTCTCTTGTAGAAACGGAGGATGTTATGTGAGGTGATTTTCGCGAGGGCCTCGGCCTCGATCCATTTTGTGAAGTAATCCACGGCGACGATTAGGAACTTGTTCTGATAGGTCCCTTGCACGAAGGGTCCGAGGATGTCCATGCCCCACCAGGCGAACGGCCATGGGGATGACAATGTGGTCAGCTCGTGTGGGGGAGCGAGGTGCATATCCCCGTGCTTCTGGCACTTGTCACATTTTTTTACGTGTTCCTTGGCGTCCTGTTGCATCGTCGGCCAGTAGTATCCCGCGCGGAGGGCTTTCCTCGCCAAGGATTTGCCGCCCATGTGCTGGGCGTTGATGCCTTCGTGTATCTCCCGCAGTACGTCGGGGATGGAGGACCCGTCAATGCATTTCAGGAGGGGAATGGAGAATCCCCTTCTGTACAGTTT